TTACACAGCCCGCAGGAAAATTTGTCACCTTCATCCCCTGCATGTGGGAGAATGAGCTTCACCAAATTTCTCAAAGGTGCAGGAGATAATTCAGCAGAGAAGGAATGATAAGAGCTAAAGTCTAGCGCATATCCGCACCGAGAGAAAGCTGACGTAAATCCAAGAGAGACCACCAACTTCGACAAGTGCATGCTGCTGATTTTCAGGAGCTTAAACCAGATTAAGCCACAACTCTAGGGCACCAACCTCTAGCCACAGCAGTTCAACTGCTTTCCTGAATACTTTCAGGGTGAGTATTAACGGAATTTAATTTTTGTTTTGATGCCGAGAGTTCCCCACCTTTTGGGACTTCCTGATGGCACGCACATACACAGAGCACATCTGGTTCTCCGCCAGATAAATAAATGCTTTATTTATCTTCACACCACCGTGGCATAAGCCGTGTTTAAGCTTCTAATTAAAACCTCACCCCTTTTGCCATCTTAAGACTTGGCTCTGCCAGACTCAAATTTTAGCTACCTTCCTTTCCCAAGACTAACCCAGCCCGTGCATTCTCTCAAAAGCAAACTGGCTGAGAAGGGGCCCTGCCCATTTGAATGTGTTGACCAGGGAGTGGGCTGCAATCTAAGGCAGCATCTAAACCATGCGTTAGGCACCAGCTATGCAAAAAACAAAGCCCCACAAGGTATTACAGGTTGTGGAAAGAATCTAGGGCCATATTCCTAGGAACTAAAACAAGAATGAGGAACGTTGCACTAAAGAGGTAAAAGTCCTCACGCAGATGGATGCCTACAGGAGATCCTACTATTAGTACGCAAAGGAATGGAGACTAACAAACGGCTGACAGACTTTGACCCTGCCACGTGTACAAGCAGCATCAACAGTGAGCACCGTTTCCTACAGCTCAAGAATGCCACTTAAGAGACAACAGCATCATGTCTCGTGCCTTATTTCAGACTGTGATCAAACCATCAGGATTTAGACTGCTGAACAACTCAGAACCTGCGCCGGAAAAGGAAGGAGCGAGGCCCCTAAAGTTTCCAAAAAGGAAAGCATTCCCATGGCCAGAGAAGAGGGAGAGGTCATAGTCTGGCACGCGGAAGGTCTCAGCTTCAATCCGGAAATGCTACTTGAAACTCTGGCACTGTCATCAACATTGGTGTGGACAGTTATTAACATGGATGAACTCAGAATATTATTTGGTGATATGTAGGCTCTTACGCTCTTAAAAGGATTAGGACAGTAGAAAGAGGGAAAAGGTTCTCCAAAATGAATTAGGAGCAGAGAGAGAGAGAGAGAGAAACCCTCCATTAAACAATGGATGTATGTTTAAAATAATTGTATAGTTTTACAAAAACTGTAAAATAAAATTGGAAAACTGCTTTATTTATTAAACGTTTTAAACCACTGATTGCTGGGGTCTGACAGGTCACAAACACACACACACAGATGCAGAGCCCCCAGTAAAACCTGATATTAAAAACAGTTCAAACAAAGAACTAAATCCCTGTATTAAATGGTGTGTTTCTAAAGCCTTTTCAAAAGCCAAGGATGGGATACAACTCAGCAAGGAGCAGATTCTTAGGAAGCAATGTGCAGTGCTAGTCATTAGGAATCAAACCAGTGGCCACGTAGCGGAGTCCCTTCAGAAAAGGGAAAAGAGAGATTTAGGAGGGATGGAAAAAAATTTTCTCTCAGGTCATCTAGACCAGGGTTCCTCAACCTTGGCGACTTGAAGATGTGTGGACTTCAGCTCCCAGAATTCCCCAG